ATCCCCATCCTGAGTCCCGGGCCCCGGGGAACTGGGTGAGGAGGCGGTTCCACTTCCTTTTTTTTTTTTTTTTTTTCTGTGTCAAGGATCTTCGAAGCCACTCCTCTCTCAGCCCGCTCCCTGAGGGGAGGGAGAGAAAGTGAACTGCAGGCAGGCAGACAGCACGGCTCTTGTGCCCCTAAACTCACCGATGGAAACACCCTTCATGTCCCGAGGTACGGGGAGGAGTTTGGCCCAAAAGCAAGCAAGACCCAGGTACACAGTCCAGGTTGACTTGTGCAGGACTTCATCGGCAGCCCGCCTCTGATTGGCCCGAAGTTCTCATGAGCATCCAATGGGAGGAAAGGCTGTGATCGGGCTCTGGTATAGGATAAGAAGCCCTGAGGGTCTGGGTCCAGCCGTTCCCGCACGCCGTTGCTGCGGCTTCCAGCTCTGTCCCCAGAGGCAGTTCCCTCGCGATCAGACGCCCAGGTTTGCCAGCGGCCACTCCTACAGCCTCCGCCATGGGCCTGGAGCTCTACCTGGACCTGATGTCCCAGCCCTGCCGTGCTGTCTACATCTTCGCCAAGAAGAACAACATACCCTTCCAGCTGCGTACCATAGACTTGCTCAAAGGTGGGCCGGGTTAGAGGGCTGGGCAGTCTGCAGCCTTGTGTACGGTGCACCTCAGCAGCCCGTGAACGGTCAGGCCAGGTGTGCAAACGAGAGGAAACGCCAGTCGCTCCCCGAAGGAAGCGGTTGTATCAGTTATCAGCTGCGGAGGTTTTTTTTTAAGCTTTGTTTTATGTATGCATGTATGCGTGTGTGTACGGATACCCCAGAAGGCCAGAAGAGGTCCTTTGGAGCTGGAGTTCTAGGTGATTGTGAGCCACCTGATGTGGGTGCTGGGATCCGAATGCAGGTCCTCTGAAAGAGCAGCAAGCACTCTTAACCACTTAGCTGTCTCTCTAGTCCCCTCAACTGTGAATTTTTAAAGAACCTTTGCCTGGTGAATAACATCCTTCCAAATACCAGATGCAAAGTCGCAGTAGAAGCTCTTGGGAGGAGGCGGGGGTGGTGTTGGTGTGGGGGGAGAGCCAGGGCATGAAAATCCCACCTCCTGGCAGTGAAGAAGAAAAGCTGAACTAACTCGTTTTCTAAGTGGAGGATCCCCATCTTGCATTTCTGCATTCTGGGGCAGAAAAGAGTTGTTTTACTTGGGTGTGTGATCTTCCACTTACGACTCTTGTGTGTCTCTCCTACTCACCGGAATCAAGTCCCAGGCTTGCTTGCCATTCGTGTGTGTGTGTGTGTGTGTGTGTGTGTGTGTGTGTGTGTG